ATATATTTATTTTTGTCATGTAAATAAAAAAAGTATCAGTTCTAGATAATTTATTTTCACGACATTCAAAGTAAGTAACAAATGGCAAGTGACTAGAAGAAATAAGTACAATCAAAGATCACATATGTTTCAGAATTTTATTAGTATGGTAATCAAAACTATGTAACAAAGATTATTATAAGCTAATGCAGTTTTTTATTAAAAGTACGTTTGAAGTATCAAATTTTATCTTTGGAATAATTTTAACAACGCGGGTAGTTTCATGACATAAGTTTCCATACCTTTAAAATTCTGTAACACAAACCTTAGTCTAAAACTTTTCAATGAGTATTAGATTATTAAATTATTCCTAAAATAGAAGGTAACATTACAGAAATATTTTAGCTAAAGACTAAAGCAACAATGTATGCTCAATTTATGTTTTAACAAATTACATTGTTTAAAATTATTTTCCAAATTTTTATTTTGTAGTTCGAGAGGCAACAAATTTTAACAAAAACTTAGTCTCTTTTTGTAATGATAAAAGTTGGTGGTGATATAACAATGGAAATACAAGGTTACTTCACCTTGTTATTCTTATAACGTTTCAACACGTCTAATGACTATCCACCTAACCTAACATACATATATTTCAGAAATTAGTCTACGTTTAAAACGCGGAATTGTAAAGATAATTTGTATAATAGAATTAATGTATGAAAGAACATGGTTTTGAAACATTGCATTAGATTTAAACATTAAATAAGTACCGTTTACTTAATGGAATGAAAAATAACACAAAATAAATAATGTATAATAATTCCTATTGAACGTACAACTAAATTCTAGAACAAGCGTAGCGTTATGAGGTCAGAATATTTGTATAGTGATTGGAAACCCACAATGAAAACTTAACTTATATGAGACCGCTAGAGGCAGAGTAGCCTACCTGCAAATTTATTACTTGAGTTATTTATATTTTCATAGTCTAAAAATGTTAATCTACACAGTGACCGAAAATTGTTGACATAATTCTAACTCAAATATAGTACGAATTCAATATCACCACAAGTTAAATACGCATGTTTATTTTCCTCCTTATTAAAATCATGATTTTTGTTATTAGGCCATTCTGCCTCTAACATCCTCATATATTCATTGTAATACATAACTAGATAAGCAGTATATAAAAGACACTTAGCGTTCTAGACGGAATATAGCACAGATATAACAGAATATATAAAATATTTAATTATATAATAATAAAATTTAAAATACTTTTATTAGGTACGACACTATAGCTACATAAATATTATCTATCTGCTTATGTTTATATAATTTAATATAATAAAAAAAATACATAAACACGAAAAATATATTGCCACAGTACATACGCATAGTGTGCCAAAAGGGATTACTTAGTGGGAGCAGTGCATAGGCTGTGGTAATTTTTATTTAATTTAACCTTAATAATATATTTTTTTAACTGTGATACAACATATTTTGGACTTATCATAAACAAAATAAGCACGCAAAATCAATTTGTAATGTATAAATACAAACATGTAAATAACTGTTTACTATGCGTTTAACGTCTTTAACTGTATCATTATTAAGTATAAGTCATATCGTTCTAACCTAAGTAAGCGACCACACGACATGTGCAAAATTACGTACTAAATAATTGCTTCTAGAAAATTTTCATTAGTTATTTTGTAGGTATATTTGTAATGGATGGGATCGTTGATATCCTTATATGATATGCGAATACATTTTCTCTAATATTGCAGATTTAGTAAGTACTAGGAACCTTGATGGGAATCGCCAATTTAGTTCATAGATGTCACTAGTAGTACATGAAAGTTTGTTTACATAGTTACCATCGTTTGACTTCTGCCGACATTTTTTTTATAATAAAACAACAAAGCATGAGGAAGAGAACACCATGGAATGATGATGGATGTAATGAGATGGAAGCTCTAAGAACCCAGCCGTATGACATCTAGACTAGATGCGAATCGTCTATTACACCATCCCATCAAAAATGCAAATGTATGTAAAATAATATTCATGTTACACAATCCACAAAGCCGAATGCCTACATTTCATACTGTAGCGGCCAAATTTACATAAGAAATAAATAATTGTAAGTGTATAAGGATTTCCCAAATTTTGACACTGCCAATATAGTAAATACATATTACATTTTGGCGTATCTCAATGTTCTTTTAATAAATAATAATCTTAATATGTCCACTTGTGGCCCGGAATAGGCATTCCCCTTTAGTACTTTTTCATTAGAGTTGTCTATCATTTTTTATAGCATTATCTACATATCTATCTAATAGCTATGAGGAAACGCCATTTTAATAAATATAAACCGGCATACGATACTAATTTATAAGATCTCTTATCTAACTAAATCTTAAACCTAATTTCAAATTAAAAATAACTAATATTAGGAAGACTAGAATAATATATTGTTTCGAAACTTTTTTTATTCTCACGTGTATACGACACGATAGCATTACATATATAATTAAAAATCTGTTTTAGATTCAAAAATTTAATTGACACAGACGGGACTCGAAACGGCGTTACTTCTTTTTTCAATTCCGTTAAGGACCACCGAGACATGGTAACTAAATAGGTTAAAGCAGCAGGACTGGTCGCTGTGGATGCCGGTTTAAATCCCGCCCGTGTCATTGATTTTTTCAATTTAAAATCGATTTTTAAATAATATTAGGTATTATTTCAGTACATAATTCATATTAGGTGGGATATAGCGAATATTATAACCGAAACGAGGGGGGTATTCCCGACGCCATTCGGCATATTTATGATAAAACTGTAGTTTACGTGCGTAATCGACATTTAAATAAAACGCTTTAACGGTTTTAAACGCGAAACATTTCACAGGGGACCCCGGCTTTTGCAAAAGATCCGAGACATCAAGTCGCAGTTAAGATAATTAAAAAATGGTTTAACTTAATTTAAAAATAATATTTCGCGTTTAAACCGAAAGTATTTTATTTTAATAAATTAGCTACTTAACATCTGTTCTCGTGTCTTAAAATAATGGTACCTACATATAGGTATATGAAAGTAATTTTGGCACAGATGTACCTTAATAATCGTCAATATTATTGGTACATTTCAATTCGGTCGTGTTAAGAATTTTAAATGTCCGTTTCTTTAAAAAGACTAGTTGGCGAATCATTGAAGCAAATATATCGGCTGCTTTCGTCAGACGGCTCGATATTTTCATCTTCAGAATTGACGCTTTTCGACGATGTCTCTGTGTGAAATTCGTGCCTGTACGTTCCTGAAAGAAATATTTAGCTTATGTACACCGATGGAAAAACAGGAACATTTATAACTTGAATATAAATGAAATCATGTATTTTGAATGTCTTTAAGTCATTTAATTTTCTTGAATTTATTATTATTAATAATTTCTAGTTCTTAATTCATGTTACTACTTTGACATACAGTGTGACATATGCCACAAAAATAATATAGGAAGGTTAAAACAAGCAATGTTAACGAAGAAAACTAGTTTAAAGCAGTCATACTTACAAGCCACACGCCAATAAATACAACATCTATGTGCTGTGAAAATTATTCACTAAATTAAAACACTAGATTGAAGTAAATGTACAAAAAAAAACTTGCTCGGTGGATAGTATTGCACTATATGGAATAAAAAAAAAACAATTTGTATTAGGAATGTTTATTAAGCACCACCTATATGGACCTATAAAAATGCATTGTCTGATATAAGCAATCTATAAAAAAGTAGCACTCTACGTCAAATAAAAAAAATCGTAGCTCAAATGTGTGCTTTGGAATTACAATGACCGATTGCGACAAAAAGAACTTGTTTGGAATAAAAAAAACTATAGGTCTTGACCATAAAAGCCATGTTTTACCTTCCCGCCCTTCAATCCTTTTGTTGGACTATTTTCACTTTGACATAATTGCTTAAGTACAATAATAACGACTAGGAAATTTACAAATAAATTCAACTAGAGGTTTACTGATTACTTAGGCTTGGAACTCAGTTCGTTGAACTCTTTGGATGTATGTTTCGCAACATCAAATTACTTTTTAAACGAGAAGCGAGAAGGTAGACGGAGATTCCATTTTAAATCATATTTAAATTAAACATAATACTTTTATACACTGAGTACGACTGTTGTTTTTGCCAGTGAGTTATATATATTAGCGCAAACTCACTAGGTAAATAGACTAGAATAGTGACGATTTGGTATCATTATTACCTTACTTAAATCTAATTGTATCAGTCCCGTGATATTTTAGATAAAGCTTTCGTTTTTATATTAAGTACATCAACTTTGTACACGGTCACTGGGGCGAATAAAAATTTAATTACTCGTAATGAGAATTCGTCAAATGGTTAAAAATTAACAAAAGTGATATCACAATTATGGGACTGATAATTCTTATTTCTAAGTCAGTTACAAATAAAATGAAATATGTATGTACGAACACTAGGAATAATTAAATGCATAATATATCATTTTATGACTGAGAACTTAGGAAAAGGTATTACTGTACTCTTTAAAGTCCGAATACTAGCCATCGACAAGCCATATATATGAACATATCTGAAAATTCCTTATAGCTGACTTATCCATGAGTAGGTTTTATCTGTATCTAATACAATGATGGTGGTAGATATTTTTGACAAGCATTAATCATTAATCAGCCATAAAAAAACAAGTCAAGCTTTAGCCGTGCATTCGATTCGACTAGTTAAATAAGTACTACCTTAAGTATATTGGTTCAATCTTGCATGAAAAATCCATGCACGTTGTATTAAGCGTCGAAATACGGTGTAACACAGGTTACAAAAACAAAAAAGGTATGCTAACTACGAAACGGCTTTGAAAATTTAAATACGTCATATGTCAATGTCTAGATGTGTATGTCAACGTCAAAATGACGGACTGTCATGATTGGCAGTGACATTTTTAAACTTCCATAGACCGTTTACATTAAGTGCACTTGAAGCAACTACATTTACACTTGACTTTCACGCGGCGTCTACAAAATCCATAACACTTGAGCGCCAAACAGCACAAACCACCCTTTCTACTATTATCCGATTTACAGGATTCATGACTATCTAGTCTTTGTAACTTTGGAACTTCGTCCGATTCGTTCAAAAGTCTGTCCAGGCGATGTTTTAATTGCGTCGGTGAAACGCTTCGGTCTCTCGTTAGTTTCGATTTTAAATCTAAACTTAACGCGTCAATTACTTCCGTGTGCTCCTCAGACGAAACCTCGACATCTGGCGAATGGGAGTCTACACTCTCGGGAGTATACGGGTCCACGCACTGCCTAGGACTCAATAGTGATGTGTCAATATCGTTAACAAAAATATCGTTATAACTGGAATAGTCAGCGCTCGTAATTTCGACGTAAGGAATTCTAAAAATCTTTTCATTCAAAGAACCAGTGCGCGTTCGTTTGAGTCTCTGTTCATCGGATAATAGTTTGTCAGGGTGGCTACTGTACATGATTTTCGGATTCTTAGTTAAGTCGGGGTCGGTCGGGAGCCTACGCAACGGTCTAGGGGTTAATCGTGCGCACGAGCAGAGGGAGGGGAATCTATTCTCACAACAATCGGTACCTCGGTCGCTTTGCAGCATCACCCGTAAATATATCGGCTGAAAAGAATAGTGAATTTAGATGATTACTATACGAATAACGCGATGTAGTGCTGTGTTCAAGCAAGTCTATGTAAAATATGGGCCATCCGTATATGGCGTCACAAAACCTTTAACGAACGTGTGACGTAATATATGGACGGGCGTAACAGGATTACAAGAACGATTCTATATGATATTAGAGAAGTTAAAACAAATTTGGCTTTCTTACTTATGTATGCATAACATCAGAATAAAATAAATTTACTATAAAACCGTATTTAATTTACTACCTAATAAAGAAATGAGAAAAAATATGTATGTATAAAAATCAGTTTGAAATGGCAGCACTAGAAGATTAATAAAATCTAAGACAAAATATGGTATTTTCAATAGTTTAAAGCGGATATAATTTTTTTTAAATCACCTTATGATCTCCCATACACGTTGAATCACCTATAACTCCATATTCGTTGCGCCTTCGTGCAGGTCCGTCTATCAAACGACGAATTTCAGAAGTCTCACCCTTAGGTGAACCTTCAGACTGATTGCGAACAAGTTTGCGACGGCCAGGGGAAGCTTCTGAATCCGAAACTCTGAAATTATTTAATATACACCCTTGTAATATTGTTAGCGATGTGTTCTAACACCAAAACATCGAATTTCGAATTACTCATATACCACGTTTATAACAATGGATAGTCATTTCGATAAGACAACCGTTAAATTACAATCCCGGCAGCATAACAAATAAAAAACAAAGAATTGATTACAACAAACTCCTGCGCAGTCTTTCAAACATCGACAACCCATATAAAGCAAAAACAACGAACTGTTTTTAATATAATTATTATATAATACAGACATATAACAAAAACTTTTGCATCACATGAACGCTTTGTGTCTGTAAATATTGTTTGATTGGATTCATATAACATTCATCTACAAATACACAACAAAGTACAAGTAATATACATTTATTAAACAGCATCACCAAACATAAAAAAAAACTTAAACAATAATAAACATACCATTTGCACATTAATTAATTTATAAACATCAAAAAGTCGACAAGACAACAGATAATGTGGGACACCTCCACTGGGTGGTATTTGACTCACTGTTTTTTAGAAAAAAATGTTCGCGATTTGAGCCTGAAATTTTGCATAAAAACGAATATAATCGATGAATGTTACAATCGAATAGTTGAAGTCACGTACATTGTATTGTTTCTACTATCGCCAAGAAATATTATGTATCAAGTGGTACATACAATTCAACAACATTTTTGACTTTATAGGGCCAATTTTTCCAAAAGTTCTTAATTCGATAATACTTCGATAAGTAATAAGATATGATTTATTTATAGCTCTTGTCTTTTAATATTGTTTATTTAAAAATGCAGCCAAAACATGACGTCACATGTGGCCATATTAGCAGTTGATAAACTGATGTAGTCAATAATTGCTCACAAATGATGTCACTCTGTGATTATTGACATGTATCATAGATGACAAATATCGTATTAGATATATAGATCGCAGATTTAAGATTTACATAACACACTTTTACGTTTTAAAACGCTATTTAAATTAGTTAAACTTATTTGAAAATTATTTTTAACTTCGGCCCGACGTTTCCCGTATCGTTCGTTCGTGTCTCCTCGTGAACAAAACTACTGCAAAGCATCCGAGACGTATCGCGTTATAAACCGTTAGTGTTATTTAAATCTGTACTACTCGCCTAAAAATTTTGGGCTAGGATTTTAAAACCAATACTCTCCGAACCCTTATTGCAGTAGTGCGTACATTTAATTGATATGAACTGTCCCCTTAACCACAATTTAATCGATAAGACGCTTTTTTTAAAAACGAAAAATACAAAATACCTTATCCCGCTTTAAAATACTTATTAGTACATAGTACAAAAGAAACGTATCAATATTGATAAGAGTTTTAGAGAAGTGTTTAGCAAGAAAAGATTTTTCCCAACGTTCGAAGCCACTAAAGGCGACAATGCATCCTTGAAGCTAAAATAATAATTAATTAAATTATTGGCTAGTAAGGGCAACGGCTATTCGTCATCTATTTAGAGAACTTCTAGCTTGTTTGTCTGAACTCCTGAATACCTAAAGCGTTTATTTTTTAAATGTTTAGTGTTCAAATTAAAAGAAACAGCTTATTAAAAGAAGCTATAGTTTACCTCGCATTAATAGCCTGTTGAATACTAGTTGGATCAGCAATACTCTTTCTACTAACTGTAGTGACCGGTACGCTAAGTCCGTCAATGTCAGCCACGCTGCTCTTCTTCTCCAATTTCTTAGGACTGCACTGGGAAGAGAATTAACAAGATATTGGTTCGTAAATATATTTAAGTTGCAAGACCTTATCTTGGCTTGAGTTTTAATTGAGAAGACAATTTTTAGAGGCTCTTATATCTAATGGTAGCAACGGGGTCTGTTAAATTCCCACATATTAAAAAAAATGTTCTTAATCATGCTCTTTACTTTGGTGGAAGAAATATCAAAAATACACTGGTCACGCAAGTGTTATCGGGTTTAGTCTGTAATTTATGAATGTATAAGGCCAAAACAGGTAGACAACGCATCTTGTTTAGATATTTTTATTTATAGCTAGAAGTTTTCATCGTCAATGAAGTGAACGAGTTAAAATTAATGGAAGGAATGAGATATATAGATACCTGATTATTATGTCTTGCAGGTGAAGCAGATCTCGCTGGACTACTGTCTGAAGAGGACAACCTCCCGCTGCCACTATCCGTAGAGTCAGTGACTGATTTCCTAGTATGTATGAATAATTATACATAGTTAAACCAACCTTATTAATAAAGACAGTTAACTTATAACAATGTTTAGAATCAATACGAAACAAGTTAGAAATGTCATTGAAACTAATTAATTCATTCAACATTCGTGTAATCTCTTTCTACTTAAATTAGGTATTTACAGCATCTGACAAAGATAGCAGTAAACCCTTTTTTATACCTTCTAATACCATAGTTTTTGAATTCAGAACAACTTAAGATCCACTTACCTAGAGTTATGCACTCTATTGTCATTTCTGTCCTGTATCAAAAGTCTAGCAGACTGGGATAACAGAATACGATCGCACCAAGCTGGACATCTGTAAAAAACTACAACATCAGGCATAACCACTTATGTTAGTAAAAAATAAATAAATTAATAATTGTTTTGGTCGATCCCACTTCTGATATAGTCAGATTATTTATAATAAAGCGTAGTATGTCTATTATTTATATTGAAAAAGCAACATAGTGTGTCTATGCTTTTAAACCTATGGTCGAGGAGACAGATAAAACGACTTTATAGTATGAAGACATACCTAGTCTTCATATAATGTGTTGGCAGATGAACATCTTCTTCGAACGGGTACGATGGTGGAAATTTGACTGGGAACTCGTACAAATGCGGCCGCAAAGCCTCCAACTCGCGGTCATATTTCAATAGCTATAAAATAATAACAAATTTAAAAGTATTTGTTAATATATATAAATCTATTATTTCATGCTTTGAATAATATAAATCAATTATTATTTTCTGTAAGGAAAAATTACCCATGACTCCCTGAAGAGTTTCTGATGGTCTACATGAGAGAACTCCTTCTTGCCAATGGTCATGACAACTCTATCTTCGCTCTTCGACCTATACTGAAGCTTCGATGAGTCGACGTTAGCTCCGTTCGACATACGACACGCTACTAAGTTTTCTGTTACTTTCTGAAACACGAAATATGGAAGTAGTTAAAAAAATAGTTTTTATACAAAAATAAATGTATTTTGTCATTTTACATTTATTGTATAAGTTATATGTTGACGCTAGAGTAATATTTAAAATTCTAAAAATATTAGTTAAAAGCAAGTAAATGACATTTACCAAAAAAAAAATGTTTGAAATAAAATATATTAACAGTTTAAAACGCGAAATGTATTAGTTACACTAATTTGCTATTTAATTAAACGTATACTAAGTGTGTCACTGTTTTATTTAAATGTGTACTACTCGCGTAAACTACAGACTGTACGGGATTTAAAGTTAGCAATATATCTTAATCTTTAAATTCACTTAATCAGAATAGGTTCAGCAGTTTCCAAGGTAAAAACAATAACAGAATACAATATAAAATTCGACTTTAAAGACGTTAACTTAAGTTCAATTTATCGTTTTGTTTATTCTAATTTCAGCAAAAAGTCGTTATTTTACCTTAACAACAGCCCCGGTATCGGTACGAAAGTTAAAATCGCCGAATATAAAGTAAGGCGCTGCGTTCACGTCGGAATGTAAGTGACGTAGTGTGTGACGTAACGCGCGACGTCGACTCCGGCAATACACCTGTAAGTAGATTTATCTGTGATGTATAAAGTTCGACCAAACCTAATGTGGTAGAAATAAAAATGTACTGTGATTGCTAAACAGCGAGTTTAGTAAAAATAATAAAAACCATCAGCTTTAAAATATGTTATACTATACTAAGCTTAATTAAACTAATAGCGTTATAGATTTTGTACAAAAATTAAGAAAATATTAAAGTTTTTCAAAGGATGGTGTCTCATCAAATTTTAACGAATTAAAATTATTACATTGAACATACTTACTGAAGGAAATGTCTCCATAGCGAGTAAGTTAGATGCATCGTGAAATAGATGTATGTTAACGAACTCGACGGCAGTCCCGCGAATCGACCAGCGCGTGCGCAGAAAACCTTTGCGTGACCATTTGCACTGTGAAAATTATTACTGTAATTTTGAAATTAGCTACAAATATCTTATACATAACCGCCTCTATAGCTAAATTGTTAAACATCAAACAGAGGTCCTACGTTCAAATCCCAGGAAATAATAAATTGTTTCAATCAGGCAGGGTACAGAAATCTGTTTTAGCGACTTACCTTTTAATAAAAAAACGACCAGTGAAAGGAACACAGAAATGTGTTCGTGGGCAACGGAATTTACCTAACCTATACCTAATACAGTAAAACATCCAAGCATATTTTGTATATAGTATATTTCAATTTGTATATGTTTCTATCTTTTAAAGTTTTTTTTTTAAATTCCATATTGGATCCTTATTTGGAGAAAAATTACTCACTTCAGGAAAGAAATGCTGCGGAAACTTAATCTTCTCTTTAGTAGTGACCTTCTCGATGTTCCCACTGTTCACCTCTTTGCCTGACACCTCTACGTAGTTCCGCTTCTCGAAGTCCCATATCTTGAGGTCAGCTAGTGATGTGTGAGCGAAGTACATATTGCCGAGAGCCTGCAACAACATACAAAACTGTAAAATATGACGCACTTCAATAAAATAATTAAAAGCTTTGTTATGGAGCTCTATGCCCAGATAAATAGCAAAATATTCCTGTGCTTAAATAAATCACTTAACGGTTTGAAACGCGAAATATATTAGTTAACTTATTTACTGTTTATTTTGACTACTTCTGACACTTGTACTTTTGCTTATAACATTAATATTTATGACATGTTATTGCACATGATGCCATTATATGAATTATAATTCTTGCTCAGCTTTTTTCCTAACACCGCAGACTCTTAATTCCTCAAGCCTTCTTATACTGTTATTTATGTTTATACGCTAATAGATATAAATAAAACTTATTAATTTGGATAAAGTAAGTTTTTTTACTCATTACTTTATGTTACGTGCATACCTATGAACTATTACGCATGTCGCGCTTTACCTATTTCATTAACACTGGCGTTATAAAGGTGTTATCTTTCATATTATCCCATATTACACTGGTGTGATAAGAGTTTATTGCAAAAGAGTATAAATACTATTATACTATATTGTTGTTAGTTATAATTCAAGTCGGTATGACTAGTTTATTTTATAGTTAAAGCTATATTTTATCTCCACAGACCCATGAAAATAATCCTATTTAACATGTAGGTACATAACATCGGAACATATCACAATTTTCCCGTATGCTAAAATGTCTTTACTACCATTAAATTAATGTGTCAAAGGTATTTTTATCTAAATATATGCCTTTGACTATTATATATACTATACTGATCACATTTCAAGGCTTCGGTAGGACGTGGGTGTTAGACGTGACGTCACTTATCACCTTAAAGCAATGAAAAACCAGATACTAGGTCAATAGTAATCCTACACACTTAAGGCTTCTACCATTATACGCTATTTTAGAGTTCGAAATTTTAGTACGAGAATTCAGTGAGTTCAAAAGGTAATTTATACATAATATAATAAAATAAAATAATCCACCTCAGCCACAAGACGATTTTTTTATAAATAATGCCCCCAGTGATTTACCAGCAAGGGCCGACCAGTATTTCCCTTCCCTGGTCAAAATGGGACCTTAGTAGCTAAATGTTTAGGACGAACGTCTACCAGGACGAACTACGTTTAAATTTAATTTCAAAATTGTGCTCGATTAATGAAACGTAATAATTAAGTAAATATTGACAACTCTATATAACGCGAACAAAATCCAAACCATTTTTTAATTGAACAGTGTTAATAACTTGCCATAAGAAGCGTATAACTCAATTACGTAGCTTGTAATTGTAATTAGTAAGGGCGTTACAGACAGAATTATTGTTTTTACTTAATAAATATATTGTCCAAACGTAGATATTTTAAACTTTGTCCATAAATAATGTGTCCAACACACGTATAGTGTTTAATAGAGAACGCTGAATCCCCTATTTTCTCTAAACAATCTCGTTGCCAAATGGCTATTTATTACATTTTTACGCCTATCTGTCTTTGAGGTCCGGTATTAGCAAAAGTAGCGTATTATGTAGTCCTTTTTTTAATGATAATGAAAGCTGAGAGTCTGGCGCAGTTTTTAAACTTATGAGCTACAAAGCTACCTATTAATATTTTAAATTTAAAGTTAAAATTTTAAGACGCAATTCACGGCTCGTAATTTTTTCACTTTGAACCATCATATTTTTAATTTCCGTTAAGGTTACGAAGATAAATGTTTTAATTATTAATGTACAACTTGTGCTTGTTGAACTATGAGAAAAAAAATCTAGAAAAAGTCTTATCACCTTTTGTAAATTAGCGTTTAAGTTGTTTAGCTCAAAAATTCTCAAAATTTTAGAAAAAAAAATCGTAACTCGATAACTATAAATAATCGCAGAACATACATGGGGGTGTTTCGGATGCCCCAAGGGATATTCTATCTTGGGACTACTGCTTGACACTACTTCTTGGGACACCCTGTATAACATCTAAACAAGGTTCGACTTATTTTGGCTTTGGATATTTGGAAATCTACAGACTGAAACTTCACGGCTTCTTTTCTGTGGACGATGGTTCGTGACCAGAACGTAACTCCGACATTCCTATTAATATCCAGATTTCCAGACAAATGTTTAACTAATGTTATAGAAAAATTATTAATTGATTAGAAAAATGTAGGACCCGCTCAGGATCGAACCCACGACCCGTGGATTATGAGCCATGCATTGCTGCCATTACACCGACGAACCCGTCTAATCCTTCTAACTACGTGCAAAATACTATAAGGGCAATACCGTTGGAACCGCCTTTAAGAAACTCCCTTTTAAGGATCTAACTAGCGATTATAATTACCTCTTTATTGACACCTGTATTAGGTAACAATTTATAGCTTTTATAACACAAGTTAACTAGCTAGATAAGGTTAAAAGAAATACGCTAAAATTAAATAAATGATGGTTAAAAAATGACTACTGTCATTTATATAATATAACTACACCGCGTTTCAATTCTACCCACATGTAAAGATACCTTTGAGGAAAAATGCAACATGAAAAGGCGGAGGATAAAGTTAAGCAATTACATATTATAACGCATAAGAATAAAGGAAGTAAATAACCTTTAAGCTTACTAGCTTAAGTATTTAACATGTTATCAATCTTTGTATATAACTAAAGAACCACAAAGAATTTCGTTAATTCGTACAGATGCGCTATCGCCCTATTTTGTCTTTTGATTAATATAAAGATTTCCAGATAAAGTTTCAGAATTATTATATCCATCCGACCATTATAAATTGGCCATAAAAAACATTATGGACCAAATACAGCGGCACTCGACCGGTTAACGCATTGACGTCACGACACTTATACGGGTCTCCGGATAGCCGTTAACGGTCTGGTGTGACGTCACAGAATTCTTTGTTACCGAGGGTGTTCTTTGTGACCGATATAAGCAGTGACACTTTAGAATAAAACACTATTTTTAACTAACTTACAAGGTTTCAACGAAGCAAGAAGATATCAGATATTTGATTATGCGTTAAAGCACTTTCTTGGTCTTTCTGTCTTAGCTCGATGTTATTCGCAAAAAGAAGACACCAATTTCTTTAAAATGTAAAGAAACCTTATCAAACATTTAAATTATTCAGTATATATAAGACAAAAAAGAGAGTGTACGAACTCACCTAACGAAATATAAATAATAGTGATGTAAAATAACGACCCTGAAAGTTAGCACAATGCTTTTGAAGTGGGAATATTAGGACTGAATTGAACAAAACACGTTTTATTATAATACAATATAGCTTTAAATTATGCTATTTTGTGCCTAATCCTTCTATAAAAAAATTGTGTCTCTCTAACTTACTATTGAAACGATAGGGTAGTACACTTGAATTTCTCTTTGGTTTATTCAGTAAAATTATTCAGTAGAAGACCGATCTATACCGATAGACATCGATGGATACTAGCTAATAAAAGTAAAAATCTTCGGTCCCTTTGACACAACCGACTAAAAATATCATGAATCAAGATTCGCGTACTACAAGATAATTTCAACAAAATCCGTCAGAGATAAAATCTTAGTCAAAGGAACTTCCTTTTCTAACTAAACTGTGATATAGTCGCTAATATTTAACTTTTTAAATATTTTAAATGTAGTGTTACATAAATAACATTTATCTTTAACAAAACATGATATATTCAGTTAAATAAATTATGTTAATGCAGTTTTCACAAACAATTATTATTGAAACTCTGTGCCACATATTTGCAGCGGGATTCGAACCCAGACTCATATTCTTAGTGGACATATCTTACCGTAAACTTTTCCGGCGAGCTAAAATCTTCGTCCAGAAATATCCTAATCTTGTCATATAACCTTAGCTCGGGACAGTCGCAAAGTCTTTGCACGAAGTCTTTCACATATTGCATAGATTTTTCGTACGCTTTGCCTCCAACTTCTTGTAAATGCAGAGCTATAAACTTTGGGTCCATGCGAGCTACAGCTTGAAGGAACTCTGACGTCCATATTGGAAGCATGGCGGAGGGCTGAAAAACAAAATAAAAAAAAACATCGATATAAACATAATAAGAAAACACTTTCTGTACTTAACGCGAACATTTAAATAAAACAGTTTAACGGTTTACAATTTCGGGTTTTAAACCGTTAGTGTATTTTATGAAAAAAAAAACAGGAAGAACTTCGACCTTTTTACTAGTGTGTCCCGTTCGTGTATTAAATATTTTGATTAGGCTAAGAATTATGCCTTTACCTACTTAGTGAAATCCGTTTCCCCCCGGGGCATGGGGTGAACACATTTTCTTTGTCAGGCGAGTAGTTGATCAGACTAATTATCTAACATATTTCGCGTTTCAAACCGTTAACTGTTTTATTTAATGCGGACTATGCGCGTGTAAACTATACAAAACATTGAATTTGTACTTGTACTGTTACTATAGGTAACGTAGCGTTTTTCAATCATCGTAAAACAGAAAACATAATACTATTACTTATGTTTAATGTCGAAGGTATTTCATATCATTATTTCCTAAGTTACTGCGTATATAAAAAAATATTTAATAGGTTGACTATACTACTGTAAAACTTGGCGGTTAAAAGATAAACCAATAACCAACGTTTATTATAGAATATTGTATAAATAATAATTTTTCTTCACCCAAATTCTATTTCATAACGTAAACAAACGTATTAATTAAAACAAGGTCGTCACAGTGACGAAAATACGCGCGTCAACTACTGTAGAATACTGGCAACGTTATTTATCACGTAATTACAATAACTATGTATTGAAATTACAATGAAATGGAATTCCAGACTATCAGTCATGAGATGATGTATGGACTTATTTATGAAAACATAAGTACACAGCTGTGGTTTGGGGCATATATAATATGACATTAATGTATACTAATACAAATGGTGAATATTAAACCTCATTTATAACAAGATGGTCAGATAAAGTAAACTCTGTTTCACAAAAAATAATATTTTCAAGCCAATAGTTGATCTGTGAATATGGGACTACCTGCTGAATTATCCTAACCTATTAATTGTGTTCTTGGGGTTCGACCAGCCAATAACCATAACAGTTTCAGTAAGGTAAATAGGAGACATAAATAACCAATAAGGAAATCCTTTTTTCAATCTAAATATATATTTTAAGTGACAAAAATATTTGCAACTTATAAAGTAATCCTGTGTTAGAAGAATTAAAAATAATAGACACGTAGTGTAGTTAATAATATAAAAGTTGTTGTGTAAGCCTTCGCTACAATATCCTTTAGTAATAGGCAAATTATAAAAAGATTCTAATAAGATAAAAATAATGACAACATAAGGCAAGCTGTACATCATGATAAGATCTAACACAGAGTTAATTTTACTGAGGTTGTATTAGATTTTTCAAAAGACAAAATAATGTGCCAGTTATAATTCATAAGAAAAATTGTATGTACAATTTTTTAATTTTTAAGCATGCAAGAGTGAAATGGTTGTGACAATTGTATAAAATGGTCAGCGATTTGTATGAACTGATAACTCAGCCTGAGATTGATGCCCCCAAAAGTTATAATTAAAAGTTAACGATAAGGTGCCTTCTTACCAAGAAAGCGGAGTACCTAGCGGAGAATTACTAGAGACTCCCTATAATAATAATGCAAAAGTGTGTCAACAAAATAAATAAAACTATTTCTTAAATTATTGCTAGAATTTTGGTATAGATGAAATGAACAGAGGATCAAAGCAGGATAACAAGATGTTTATCAAATTCAAATATGAAGTGGACATATAAAAACAAACTTACTACCTATAATTAAGTTATCTACTAGCACTTTTTGATTCTCTTAATTTAATTAGTTTGGAATTACCAAAACAATATGTGTTTATAATAATCATAACTTAATTAAACAGTTATTGATATTAAACATCATTTGAAAAAACATGACCACACCTTAATTAAGAAAATATTTAGTTTCAGAAAACAAATTCTAATAGAAATTATTATTATTTTGATGTTGTGCTATGATAAGAATTAATTCTGGCAACATACAAATAAAATGAATTTAAAAATATAATAATTTTAATTTTCAATACGTACATTAAAGTGAAAGTGGGTGTAAATGCGAGTCTAATCGAACTACATTTAAAATTAGAACGCATCGTTATCACATGCGCAACAATTTTTTCTGCTCTAAACTATTGAAAGCGATGTTAAATGGGAAATTAAAATATACTCACTTCCTCGAAAATAGAGCCGACATTTGCAGTCACTAATAGCAGCGGCACTTTATCAGAACCCATTTTTTTAAACTTCAACATAGTGAAAATCAATCAAAACAAATTTGCTTAGCAAGGTTGAATGTTGGCGCTGTCACAGGTCACTCGTATGTCACTAAATAGGATTTGTTAGATCTCATGATTGCGAGAGTTTATGTAATTTATTTACAATAAAATTACGAATTCTTGTGTTTTAAATACAAATCAAAACTAAAAACACGATATCGGCGTCCGTACCCGACCCTCGCCCTTTCATTAATTATTTTGGCAATTGACAATTGACACTACATATGTGGCACGTTACGGTTTACGATCAGAAGGAGAAATATATGTAAAAACGTCTTAAGTTCATATTTAGAAACATTGTGAATTTTAAAAATAGTACGTAATTAAGTAGTTATCTATTATTTATTACAATGTTAAAAGTATTTTCTTTCTGAGCAAACATAGCTTAGAGAAAGATTGGCGAGGAGCGCTAATCTCGTGGAAAGAAACGTAAGTTTCAATAACAAACCGCCGACCAATGTCGTCAATTCTTCATTTTACGTCACGCCCTACTTTCAGGGACGTGCTTATTTTTATCGACCGTCAACGTAAATAAATGGAATAAATTGTAAGTAAATAATTAGTTTTACTAAATACAACGCGATTTTTTTAATATCTTAATTTCTAATTAGTATTTGTAGAACCAATATGTACCTAGATAATTATTATTTTTTTTACATTGGAGCTACAATTATAAAAAGGAACTATGATTTAGGAAAAAGATAGTAACTTAATATCGACAACAATAACTGTGCGAGCCATGTTAAAGTAGAACAAATAATATTGCATTCATGAATTATTCTATGCTTCTGGTTGTTTAGTTTCTTGTGTGAATGCGGAAATCCCGCGTGCACGTAACGCAAGTTTATGGGAATCTATGTTTATTGTTATGGGAAATATTGTTGTTTTACGATGAATAGGATTATCTAATTTCTTGTTTGCAACAATGTAGTCTGCGACTTATTTTAAATTAGAATGGAAGTCTTGTGTTACAGATTCTAAAGCATTTATTATTTGACAATACGAGGTTTAGATTTAGAACCATTTAATTACGATACTCTATCAAACTACTCGCTATACCCTTTCGTTTCTTGCAAATTTATATTGGTAGTCTAGTCAAACGGATATATCCTTTATCGTGTCGTAATACGTACCCATTTCTACCATCTGATTTAGTAAGATAAAACCATCGTGGTAAGAAGGACTATATTACTTGAAATTTTACTTGTGATTCGATTCACATCCTATTGGCTAGAAGAGTAGGTAGAGGTGAAGAGATGGAGGTTTCACATTTTTTGAACTCCGCCCTAAAAAACTGATCAATACCCGCTGGGTCACCAGAATAAATGGTAGGTACAGTTCGATCCCAGGGTATCATGCGGTGATGGCCGCCAGTTGAGATTGTTTTAAGGTATTACCACCTCTCTCAGAGCCAGCCTCGCAAACAGTAGGCGTTTGTTTATACATATTATACAATTTTCTACTTCTTTTCAGATGTACACACTTTTCTGGCTACTTCTGTTCGCATGCGCAGCGTGCGGCCATGAATATAATGCTATTGAAACCGAAATGTTCGCGATACCGATCAGTCCCAATCTTTTTAATTGGACTTATCAAGGTAAGCAATCAGCAAGAGCTTAAAAATACAGATGTCTTTCCGGGGGCAACCGATTCTAATCGCGGTTAACATAAAAACAAATATTTAGCTACAAATTCAATCTAAATTAAAAATCGATTTTAGATTGAAAAAAATCTTACGACACGGGCGGGACTTGAATCGCAACCACAGCGTTGCTCAAACTAAGTAATTGAATTTCTTTTTTATCTAAAATCCATTTTTAATGTATATAGGGCCACATGTGCAATAACTTGTGTAATAAAAAAATATATATCAAAAGTAGAAATCTACCAATCTTGTAGGCGTATCTTAGCTTCCTATATCTCTGATACAGCGTGACTTACAAGGAAAGAGATGATGTGGTCTTAGACCATGCAGATCTCTTTGCCATGCAGATCGCCTATATTTAATAAAAAAATTGGGATTTCGTTCGTTGATTCCTATAAAAACAGTTATTGTGAGTAAATACTAAAGAATAGACATACTGTTGGCGACATTTTCTTAGATCACCTAAAGAAAAATAAGTTCTTTCCTACATATCCCTCAAAGATTTCCTTCGTTTTTGTTTCACATTTCCCACTGTTTCTTAGTCCTATTGGTCCCGGTGCGTTGTTTTATAACATTCATCGAAAGCCTTTACCTCGATAAATGCTTCAACCAGAACAATCATAATGTTTTAATCCGAACGAGTATTTCCTGATAAGCGCGTTCAAAAAACAAACTCTTTAGCTTTATAATATTAGTATAAGCCATTATCATATTGCCAAAAGCCTTCTCTTTGAAGACAAATTATTTTCAGAATTCGACCAGCAATACCGCTTCCATGCGTCACTGATTGGTAAACCAGAACTTCCTTTATGGCTTCGATACATCTACAGCGGACGTCATCATTCGGGCTTCATTTTCGGAACGCCACCCAGAGGCACTGCATCACCAATCACTGTAAGTCTTGAAGTAACCTATAGACCTTTATACTATATATCTTATTCAGCCTATTAAATACAAAGAAAGAATTACGTAAAGTATTTAGTAACATAAGGTCTAAGTCACATAAAAATATTGAAATTAAAACATTGTTACGGTTAGAACCCAACGCGTGCGGACTTAGACCTAGAAATTTAGAATGCTTTACAGCGGCCGTGGTTCGGGAAAATTTTTAAACAAATTGTAAATAAAATAGCTAATACATTCCGCGTTTTAAACTGTTACAAAGTGTTTTATTAAATTGTGTGCTCGTGGCACTAGAGGCAATAGCGTACACATATTTATACATATAAGGATTGTTTCTTATACTTAAATGAAGAATAGATATTTGGTATATCATTAGCTTTCGGGCTGTTAAGCCGGCGTCAGCAAGAAGAGGTTCTCGACGTTTCGCCATCACGTGCGGACGGCATCAGGAGATGATTTCGTTCACGTAGGCCGAACAGCCCGAAAGCCAATGATATGCGAACGTACCGTGAAAGCCTTACAAAATTTCTTAGATATTTGGTGTAATGCGGGAACAATCGTTCTTTTCATTTTAAGTGTGATCAGAATTAGGAAGAAGATTTGAATATGATTATGAATGATATGACGAATAAACCATGATAGCACAACTATCATGGTTTTTCTAACAAGGTACATCTTACAAACTAAAGCAGACCGCAAATGTCACCCAACTTGTTATAATGAGGGAAAAAGTCAAATTACTTTGAAACGACAATTGGAACACTTAGGATTGTTGTCATTGTAGAAAATGTCAAAAAAATTGTTTTATTTTGAGAAATAGCATACACGTGTACAGTAGATTTGCAACTTGGTCCATTAACTGTAGTTTACGCTCGATGTAGCTTTTAAGACGTTGAAAGCACTCTCCCGTAAAATAAGGCTTACGATACTCGAAATTGTAATCCCATATGTTTTGCCGGAGTATTTTACGATGCTGGTACATCAATATGCTATTTATACGCCTTCGGGTTAAATTGTACACACTTTTGCAACTCTAGATTTATTTTTGGTCGATAAAGAGACTTGTGGTATTTGTACTTTTCAGCCAGACTAAAATTTAGTTGTAATATTATTATAGTGTACTTAGTACATATGTTAACTCAAGTCTATAATTACCTCCCTTATTAAAAAATATGTAAAAATGCGTTCTCCATCACGCAAATTTTTATTAGAACTAAAACACTAGCTGTGGCCCCGACTACGTCTATATAATTTACTTTTGCAAACATCATCCTTAGCTTTACAAATTACACCGTTACCCCGACGTCGTCTGCGTTTCGTTGTTCTTGTGAGTTAATCTTAAAAGATAGAAATTTACTTTCGCGAATTTTTTTTAGATAATTTAAAGAAGAATCATTCTAACATACATACATATTTTTGGTTTCGCTCGTAACTTTCCCAAAGTTTTCCATATTTTCTCCATTATTTCGCTCCTATAGGTCGCAGTCTGATGTTCTATAGCCTAAAGCCTTTCTCGATAAGTCGATCTAACACAAAAATATTTTGTCAATTCAAGTATTTCCTAAGATGAGCATATTCAAACAAACAAACTCTACACTTTTAACATTATTATAGGTAATGAAAGAAGGCGAAAAATAAAATGGCTAATAAAAAATTATATTTTACAGTTAGAAATTATTGGCTTAAACCGACAAGATTATGAAACCCGACGTGTTTTGCTCACTCTGCGCGTTCAGTCTAAAGAAATTATGGCAACACATGAGGTTGAACTCAAGATTGATAATCTCAACGTGGAAGATTTACTTGATGAACACAGGTAATTGTAGTTACTTAACTAGAATTCTTTTATAATTTTGAATAAATGTGTATTTAACACAGCAAATTATTGATTTTCGAGATGTTCGGCCGACGTGAGCGAGAAGAGGTTCTCGACGTTTGCCATCACTAGCGGACGGTATCATCAGGAGATGTTAGCTCCTCGATTGCTCGAAGAATTAAGTCAATATCATTCCTACGACATTTTATTTGCTTTTGTTTTTCAATTCGTCTCAAACCAAATATCTCAAAATCAAAAAAGTCTCAAAATAAATTATTCTCATAAACACAACGAAGAATGTGTGTTTATATTGTAAACTAATAAACAAATAAGATTAGTGTCGGAGTTTTTTTTGATGATATAATGTATGTTATATAACATATAATTTTGTCAAAAAAAAAAAATAGATAAATCTTTTGAGGCCTTCAAAATTAGCCTTTGTGTATTTGATTGCTATTATGTGTTTGTTACTTTCAGAATGACTCGCCTCAAAGATATCCTACGGACAAAATTATGGACGGAAAGTAGTGGCGACTTATACGCTACCTTTTTGGCATCTGCTATTGATTTGGGTGCAAGGCTACCCTTGAAACCTAGCGATGGAGAAGGGTAAAATATATTGATAATTATATTGCAAGTTATTCCTTCCTTCCCTTTTTTTAGATTACTATTTTTTTAAGATATACATAAACATATTTTTTTTAATAAAACTTTTTTAACACATTGAAATTGTAATTGTGAAATATATTAGTTAAATTATTTACAATATACATTTATTAAATGTGTACTACTCCCGTAAACTAACGACATTATCTCGCCTTTAATTGTTTTGACACTTGGTTCCCCAAACCGCTACTAGATGGCGCTACACGACAACAAGATCATTGTTAGATCGCGTTAACTAAATATTTCTTTAGAAACCATATACCGATCGTTTATTTATTGCTATATTTATTATTTAAATTTAATACTACTGTAATATTTACTAGTTCTCTTTACATTAAAAAACAAGCACTAGTTTGTTCACACATTTTTGATATAATTTTAGGTTAGTTGTACGTCTCGGTAGTGCAACACCATTTTCAAATGAATTAAAAAGGTTACGAGAAGAAGTGCGACCGCTGTCGCGCCTGCCAAGCTGCCCACGCGAGTTCAAACGTACGACAGTGGAGAGATTGTTCAGAGATGCTGGATTCACTTTAGATTGGTGCAGTTTTGAATTGGTAATTTTTGCCCGATTTTCCGTTTTCGTTTTTCGCTTCGTCGCAGCGTGATATTTTAAGGCGTTCCTCGATAAATTCTCTGAGGAACACAAACTATCTTTTTTATTTGAACGAACTTACTTATATTATTGCGTTCAACAAAAAATTCTTCACGCTTATAATAATAGGTATAGATTAAAATAAGAGATAACTTAATGTTGATAACTGATTCTATTTATTTAATTTCAGTATAACACAGTGTACAATGAACGCAATACACTCCGTTTAGAATACCTAACAGAACTTCCAGCTACTAGCAAATCTGACGTTAAAATAACTCTAAACAATGCCAACACTTGGTCTGCGCCAAGTAGATACGCTCTACCAAGTAGGAGTTACGCTCAGCAATTATCAGTCACTATTGCTGTACCTTTGGTGCTAATGTTGCTCTGTGTTGCTGCGTTGAGTGCTATCCTCTGCTTCCATTATGCTGCCATGTAAGTATTCTTATTTAAGGATTGTCGACGTTTTATCACAATCACATGATATAACCAAACTTTAAATAGATAAAAAACCTAAATCTTCTGAAACAGTCATTGACAGACGCAACATGTATAGTTATACAAAAACTGATTGTTGACCAAAATGTACGAAAGAAAACTTACTTAAAACTTAAGGTTAAATTACAATCTTACTATTTAATAAGTTTAAGGTTCTAGTACCCAGAAGAATTACCCGTACTACTGACCGTCTTTGTACTTAAATAGTTAAGCGTGTTGCCTAGCATGTAAGCGAGAAAGGTCAGGGCCTCGTATCCCGGAGGAAAAATAAATTGTTGCCTGGTAGGCACAGAAGTCTCATTAACACGTTGCCTGTAATAAACCGATCAGTGAAACAAATACACATGTGTTTGCCCCATGCCCCACGGGATATGGGATTTTTCCTACTACTAGTAAGTTAGGAAAGCACAAAGAACAAGCAATAAAAGATCAAATATCCTCCGCATGTCAAAAAAATACCTAGTAAAAAAGAACTCCCATTTTAGACCAATAATCGGCTTAGACCACTATGTCCGCTTGCGTAATAAGAAGACATTTTGTAATACACATGTATTTTAAAAATGTATAATCTCCCACCAGGGATCCGGAATCCGAAGGTTTTTTCAATGATATCTATCACATTTGTGCAGATTACAGAAAAAAGAGGTTCGAATTTATTACTACGAATGACATGTGTGACATGCTTTATTTTCTACTTTAGAAAATAGTATAGAACTAATAGGAAACAAATTATTGTTCTCCATTAACCATATAACTAAGCTTATTTCCTAACTTGCAAGTTATAGGGCTCCTAATTACTAAAACAGAGCTATGATAAATATATATTACCTAATTTTAAATAACGTGAAAATACCTATGCGACACTTGATGTACATTAAAAGAAGAAAATTAATGATTCGTTTTCGATTTCTCAGAGCACATAAATCGGCAAAAGTGGAGCTCTGCCGATATGGAACTGGCAATACAGAGCAAAGTCAAATCGCTGATGATGGAAGTACGAAAAGTTTAGGCGCAAGGTATTATTATTTCTCTTAACTTAAATCCACGTATGAGATTTCAGCTGTCATAATATAAACACGTTATTTTTCAGCCCAAGCAACAGTCTGGTTCGTCCCTACAGTCCAAAGTCGTCAACTAACTTAGCTGGAAACTACAATCGGCCGCAACCACCTCCATACATGGGCTCAGCTACGAACTCCTTGCACCATCGCAGATCTGGCCACACGGAAACCCCCTCGCGAACACCGGAACACAACCGCCATCTCGCTCTAGAGGAATCCATTAAACTCTTAAACGAAGCAAACATCGCTAGTGAGTTCGACAATTTGCTCTTAAAAAACCCGGTTGTCGATTTTAATGATGGCGCAGAAGATTACGTTCCAATTAAACCGGATTCAGCCGGTTACGTCTCGATCAAACGCGATTTTAGTGATGGGCTAGACTTGGCGAAGTACGGTGTCACTGGGGTTGGCGCCATTTGACAAGATGGCGCGCCAGCTGTCAAAACTTGGTTTTGTTAGGCGCGAAAAACGAAGTTAAACAAACAAATGACGAATATCCCGTCTGCATTTTCCATAGATATTGTAAAGGATGTAGTCTTAATAGATAATAAAAAGTAGGCGTTGTTGTTGTTAGCCAAGCAATAAAAAACAGCATAGAATACTACGCGTTTCGTCTTATTTTATAAGAAGTTGTGTTATCAATAAGTTTTTGCATACTGTATTAACTATTACTAATTTATTTATAGTAAGAATATTAACTGCCATTTATTGACTACATATTATAAGTAATTTCAATTTATCTAGTCAATATTACACCTAGTCAGAATAGAAAACGTAGAAGGCCTATGTTTAATCAAAGATTAAATATACATAATAATAAGATGTTTTTATTTATTTTTCGTATAAAGTAAATATACAACAAAACATAAATTAACTTAAATATCACACTAAATAGGAGATCTTAAATTACAGATAATAATTACATTTTTGTACACTGTCGTATTATCTACATATTAATAACGTTTAAAAATAAGATAAGGCATCCAGGGTGAAAATTTTTTAATTTGTCTCAAAAAAAACTTCTTTATCGACTTACATTCTTTGTACTTTTACAACAAAGTATGTATTTCCTTTAATAATGTCTCGTCCTCTCTTAAAAAATAACTTTACAAAATCTAACAAACCTGTGTGGTTCACGATTTTATACCTTCTTTTTGTATAGGAGCTTTCTTACGGAAAAATACGTATGTTTTCAAAACGGGGCTGCCACATTTTGAGTAAGGAAATATTAAATTAGAGAGAGTACTTACTTAAATTCTATATACTTAGCTTATAATTATTTGCAACATTTGATGAACCTTCCTAAAGGATCACTATATTATTATTGTCAAGTTTCAAAATTATAAATATTATTAATTATCTGTCTAACCCAAATTGTTGTAGAGTTTCACTTGGTTTAAACGATTTTTCAGTTAATAACTAAACAAAATATATTTACAGTTACTACAAAGGTCGATTGAGTAAATTATAAATAACAGAAATAATACTCGATTGTATCCTTAAACTAATTTAACCAAGAAAAATAAATTCATACAAATAAACAGTTGCGTTAGATTGACATTAAAATTAATATCCCTTCTCGTTTTTCTCGGTAAAATTAGGTTTAATAAACGAACTATATCTAATTTATACTATATCTAGGTTTTCCATCACTCAACGGGCTTCCAGCACACAATGGCTCTCATACCATCTGGTGCTTCACCAAATATCCGGTCTCCATTCGAGTCCACGTACTGATTGATTTGGTAATCCAGAAGTGTTTGGAAGCCCAAGACATCTGTACCCAATTGCTGTAACGAAATGATATAAAACGTTAGATCAGCTATCACATGCTAATTCAAACCTGAAACAGGGATATACGAATTTGTAGATTTTGCACAAAGGAAGGTTTTTAAGTAAATACAGTAAAATATTTCAATCCAAAAACTAATGTCGTTGAAAGTTGAGCTCGTCGCGATCAAAAGATACGCGCTATTGAACCCGATTGAATCTTTAGGCATAAAGTACTACTTCTAGTCGACCCATATCTAATCTATCTAGCCCTCTGTGATCCCTAATTAAAATGTGGGAAAAAGCGCTTTCGACCTGCATTAGCTTCATTCGAAAACAAAACTTAAATTGTATGTAACAATAGATTAACCAAGCCTTATGGTTTTGTAAATTTCTTTGTTTAAGCTACCTGAGTCAGAGGACTCGTATTTGTTGTGAATACTCCGAGAAAACGCCGTTTCCTGGCTATGTTCATCGTAGCAACCTCTAGGGCTTGTATTGCCGCAACATTATCCCCAGAAGTCAGCGTTGACTCTGTCGCCATCATAAAAGAATGCAGAATTGCACCTGTGAAAAGAAGATAGCAAAGTTATCGTTAAACACTTACAGGACCATAAGATGGCTGAGACTAAATATGTGAATACAACACAATATCTAATAAATTTCTACATCCTATGTTTGGTGTAAAGTAAGAAATCATCACTAGAAAATCAAAGCAAGGTGTATAGTTTTCCTACAATTTCATACGTTTTATTTTAATATTTGTTGAAAAATGTCGTTACAATAATAATTGAATAATGGATAACGATTTTTCTAGAAGGGAAAAATATTTCCATTGGGGGTGAAAGTGTTAAAGTCAAAGTTTACATTAATAGGTACAGTTGCCTGTTAATGGAAGAAACGTATTTGTTACGTAGTTACCTTTTCCTTCAGGTAGCATAGTATCCCTAACAGAGCTCTCCACATACTCCAAGAAGGTCATGATCTTCGCTAAACCACCAGCTAGTTCAATATCAGGTTCATCTCTTGCATCGAAGTTCAATGCTACTGCAACTGGACTGCCGGAACCTTTAACCCAGAAAAGAAATTTTACAGAAAATTATAATTTCTTTTTGTTACATATATTCTACTTTTACCTAAGCCTATAAATAATACAAAGAACAGAATAAGAAAGAAACGTCTTATGTAATTGATGAACTAGCTTTAAAGAAAGAAAAAAATTCTAATTTCCTTGTATTCCCAAAATAGTCAATTTTTATCTATATATGCATACAATACGTACCATCTTCAAGTACAACGCTGAGACCGGCCTCAAGCAGTGGTTTCCAGCACGCTGATATGCAATGGGCATAGTCTCTCGTGTTTATTTCGTGGCGTAAGAACTGCTCCAACTCAGCCTTTTCGTAGAACGATGAAACTATCATCCTGAAAATATCGTTTCACAAACATGTAAGTTCAATATCACTACATAGTATAAAACAAATTTGCTTTTACCGTCACTATGTACGCTTAAATCTTTAAAACTACGCAACGGATTTTGATGCGTTTTTTATAAATAAAGTTATTAAGAGAAAAGGTTTTATATACAACGTTCTCTATAGTGCATTTAGTTTTAGCACTGCACCCGAGCGAAGCCGGGGCGGGTAATATTAATTTCTACATTTTTAATGCATGGTACAGTCCTACTTTTTGAACAACAATAATTATTAATTCAATTAAATTGAGCATACTTACTCAATTATTTCCTCCCTATGGTCGTCCCTCATCGAAACAACATTGAACTTTGGTCTATCCGAATCTCTTGTGTCATTTAAATTTGTATTCAGATGCTGTAGCACCTCACCCAAACTGGCTGCTCCAATGAAATCACTAATTTCTGAATAAAATAGTATATATAAAATATTTTTAGTTATTCATTACCTTATAAAAGTACTAAGTACTTTTAAACGTTTTTTGTTTTTTTTATAGCATGCCAGTCCTAAAACCAGCGTGTTGAGTGTAGATAATTAAAGCTGATACTGGCACCATTCCTTTTTTCATTTGTAGTCTATGATATTAAAATTAAGAAGAAATATTTGTAAGTACATAGATATTTACTGTTTGCCAAACAGTTAATTCTTCTTGCCACAAATGAAAAAAATATATATTTACAGTTGACATAGTCATAACCAACGACAATAAATGTATTATTTTACTAACATCCGAATCCATATTGAGTGAAGTACCAATTTTTTAACCAATCATGAGTCGCTTTCACCTATCCACTTGATATCTTACTCTGTAAAAGGCGCTACCACGAACTACCAGCTAGCATCTCTCATTGTAGTTTCGTTTTTTTCTGCCATGCACTTGTTCGCTAAATTGAATCGTGCACACTAGTATTTTGCATCTATATCACAATTGTTGCATAAGTGTTATGAAGCAAATTGTAATGGCAGTGTTAGGGCATGATGCATTGCTACGTCAGATCCTTGAAGAATATAATAGTTCCAGATGTTTGTTATGACATGCCAATGTAATAGTAGGTAAGTAGTAAAAAGGAAGTAGACAGTACTTTGAAAATTGGTGGGTTGGAATAAATTTGTCACAAAGTCGAAATACTCGCCAAAATAAGTGAAACAAATTTTTAGTTATCTAGTTCTCACCCTGACTTTTAATTTTTTATGCAAAACGCATAAGCGCACATATATCTAATTACAAACTATTTAACGGTGTACGAATTCCAATTGCTACCCGCTCCGTCTCCTATCCTCGGATATATTACATTGAAAAGAAAAATATCGAAAAAAACTACCCTCGAATTAAATACCTGTCAATTTAAACATTTCCATTCAATGTGAAATGGCTTTGAAATAAATTATTTTTGTTAATTTTTATTAATATTAAAAAATTTTGAAGAAGATTGTAAATTAACAACTTTTCTTTTGTTTTATTTCTATTACCTTCACGTAGAGATACTCCGCAGCACTTATAAAGTTTAGAGCATGTTTTTTTTTGTTAACTCTAAAATTAAATTGTTATTTTAAAGACAAATAATCATGTATCTTTTTAAACAAACTTCTTACCAATATAGTATCCTTTATCTCTTAATCTCGTAATGGTATATATGGAGTTAAGGGAATTTCCACCAAGCTCGTAGAATCCAGCCCTCACAGATATAGCTCCTCTAGCTGCGCGACCAAGAACTTCACCAACTGTTTCAAATAACGCTTGAGCTTTGGCTCTATCTTCTGTGCGTACGCCAGTATAGTCTATTTCAAGAGAGATAGTTGCGTCATCTAAAAAGGGAGAAATCTCTTTAACGAAATTGCTTTCTACGGAAGTATAAATTTCAGCACATAACGCGTAATGCGCCTGTCTTTAAAAATAACCACTTTTGTCAGACATCTCAAGAATTACCAACAAGGTAAAAGACGTTTTCGTTTATATGTTCTTCTTTAGCGCCTGAAACACTGTTCTCATTTTAAATCACAATGTAAAAAAAATATTCCAGATCCATTTACCATTGTTGTTTGTATTTTCATACATCTTGAGGAGCGCTTGCCTGTCAACTTTGCCGTTCACCAGAAGGGGTATAGATTCGATTACGATCACCTAAAAATAGTACAAAATTAAACCTCTAATTTTATTGTACATAATTTATTTAATGTTATTTAGTGTACAAACTTACTTGTGGTATCATGTAGCTTGTCAATGCATCATTTAATGCATTTTCTATGCGCCGTTCGTTCAACCTTGCAGTAGGGCTGATTGTGACAAAAGCTAAGATCTCCGGATTGCCACGATCCAGGCCATAGCACAAGACCACACCTGAAAAGTTTTTGAATCAAAATTATAATTTTATGTACACTAAACCCGAAAGATGAGGATCCTCTGACAGGACACACTCCACTTCTTTAAATCATTGCTTTGCTTTTAAAAGCTTTTCAAGTACCTTATTAAAATTTAATGCGTTACGATACGGTAAGTTAAAATATTTAATGATCGTTAGACCGCAACAAATGCGCCATATTATTGTCTAGCTTCTACTTTTTACTCTTCCTGTGCTAAGCACTTGTCTCCTCCCTCGTGGAGGAAGTATTCAAGAGTTAAGACTTACCACGCTGCGCCATTAAGGGTTAGCGGGCCTTAACGTCTATCGTCTTTTATTAGCCAGTGATAACCTCTCTTAACTTGCTCTCGGAGACATACCTCATTCTTCCCATTTATCTGTGGATCTTGGCAAACGGTATCCACCTTGCAGTAAAATATTACTCGTTACCTTTTTCAACTCCTTGTACTCCCATGACTGCTCGTTCCACTTCTTGTAAATCCACACGATGTCCTCTAATCTTGACTTGTGAATCGGTTCTACCAGCGAATAGTATCATGCCCTTGTACAGGATACCGAAGTCTCCAGTACGGTACAGACGACTGAAGTCTAGAAACATGAAAATGGACACATTTACACGCAATAGAGAATAAATTAATTGATTTATGAAGTATTTTTAAAATAGTTTGGAAAAGAGTTTGGCTTCTGAGCCAAGTTATTAATTATTTATTTATTTATTTTACACTTTGATACACCAAACAGAACATACAGATACTAACTATGCAATTTATAACTATAGATTACTACCTATTTGATACTCTATTTTATCATAAGATATTAGAAACTTTTAGATTAATATATATACATAAACGTATATAAAACTCTTGAAACTCTTCGGTTTTCTTTTGTGACCTAAGCCCAGCATAATTCTGATTAGATTTCTAACATTAAAACCACAATTACCTGGATGAGCAGCGTGAGGATTGTCACAGAACTTTTCCGGGGCCTGTCCACCAACATATCCCTTGGCTAGGTTTTGACCAGCAACCCACACCTCCCCAGGCTCCGATTCACGAGACGGGTTCATTTCTTCATCTAGCAGATACACTGCACAGTTGTCTAGCGGGGCACCTTAGTAAATGTTACAGATAAGTAAATGAATTATACCCTGTACTGTCCCTTATTGTATTTATAAAATATTAAACATCAATCTTATAATTAAAAGTAGCAGCAACTGAAGACGAATAATAATCTTTTACGTGAAACAATTTTTGTAGCAACTTACCAATAGGTATAGTAGGAAAAATATCCAACTGAGCAGTTTTCTCCATAACATAGTATGTAACGTCACCCATAACCTCGGTACTTCCATAGAAATTTGCCAATTTGTAGCCATGTTCTCCAAAATACTGGAAGAACCTGGATGCGAGGTCTTTGCTTAGAGTTTCTCCCGAACACACCCAGAGCTTAAGACGTTGTAGGGGACGTTGTGATGGATTTAAAGACACATACATGAGGATCGATTGCAATAAAGTTGGTACGAGGACTAAGCGCTCCACCTGAAAGAAATTGTAAAGCTTCAGAAATATTAAACAATTATTTGTTTTGGTTTGCGATGTATATTTGAACAGAAGAATACTTATTTTGAAATAAAAAAATAAAATAAAATATATAAAATAAAATATATATTGAGAGCATGGTTATATTTTTACTAAATAGTACTAATATGTACACCTGAAATACTAAAGTAGACAGATAAAATATTAAATGTTAGTGGGCTGTGTACACATAAACATAACCTGACCTTTTCGGTATCTTTTTATTTTTAACTTTAAATATTTCTTTTTTTATTTATTATTTACCTACACTAAATGAATGCTAATTAAAAATCTTATTTATGCACTTACGAGCCAAATTTTTCTTAATTGTTATCAAGAGTCCTCTTGCTCTTCAAATCGAACATATACGAACCTGTTCTCGTTCTCCGACAAAACCCGCACGAGCTTCTGCGGGTCACGTGTTGTCTCCTTCGATAGTATCAGCAAAGTTCTACCGTGTAATAGCGGTCCCCAAATTTCGCAAACCGAATCGACGAAGGTGAGTGCAGTTTTCCAAACACAAATGCTCTCTGTGTCCGAATAGGGAAATGTTCTGAACTGCCACCAGAGACGGTTGCAAATCGCTGAATATGAAAGACGCACCCCTGAAGAGATGAATAAAGTGTTATATAGAACATATAATATAATAAATATAACATATATATATAATGTTATATGTTGAACAGATGTTTAACACACGCGTTGCCGCTGATTGAGCTGCTAGGCAGAGCAACTGTACAGTCCGTTTTATCCCTAATCCCAGCTAGATTTTTCACTATTCCCTTAGAGAATATTAAAATTTATTTTAATATTTCTAATATTTTCGAAATTAGATAAATTAGTGTTATACTTAATTGTTAAGTTTTCAATTAATATACATATTTGAACTTTTTTTACTGAATGTGATGACTACTATTCAACTGCTAGTCTGGTCAGGTTGTCTTCCTTAATAATGTCCTTTATTCATTGACATTATCATAAATAGTTATATCATTTTATAACAAATCAACCATCTCACTTGGCAGCAATACTTCATAAATCATAACAACTTTTTTCACTTCAGCGTCTTAACAACTTCCCGAATTCAATAAATGAGTCATCTTGAAAAAAATAAGGAAGCTTTAAGGTTGTACAATGAAATACAACATCAGATGAAGTGCTATATTACAAGTTCATACAATTAATTAGGTGACCTTATATAGATTCACTAGCGGTGCCCCGCGGTATTACGCGTGCATAATATTTTAATTGCAATACAACAAGAGACGTCTTAAAATAAATTACGTATGTTTGTTAACCTGGACACGCGTTTAGAAAAGATTGTTACCCTACAGAGCTCTATACATACGGGGTATTATATGATATATATTTTTTTTAATAATATTTAATGGCCTGGTAACGAGACCTTTAAGCCAAGTCTTATTTTCACTTCATACTTTTCTTCTCTATATGGACCCATTATATGATATATAAAGAATGTACAAAGACAAAATAGGTTAAGAGCGCATCTTGTTGAGATGTTATGTGGCTGGGGTATTAGGCCGTCTATCTAGTGACCCTAAGCTTGTTTCTACTCCTAGAAATCTGCGTATTAAATGAGTATTAGGAATATCCGGGACCTGAATCACGAACCAAAGAAAAAAAGCCGTCAAGCTTAATGGCGTTTTGGTTATAGTCTCTATATTTCCGAATATCCAATGACAAAATAGGTCAACATCGTATCTTGTTGAGATTTATATGGCTGCGGTATTTGACCTTCCAACAAAATACAAATAACTCAGTCTCAAAGTTTTCGGTTTTAGATTAACGACTAAGGCCATAGAATGCAACGGACATCCAGTAAGAACAAAGCGTATTATATGTATATATCAAAAATGTATGTTTTGTAAGAACCGTCACGATTTCTCAATTCCTTACAAAGAGAATCTCAATTGCCCTCCTTCCGATGAACTTAATTGTTTGATACACATCTACGTATTAATCGCTTATATTTAATGATTTCCGACATTATTTAGGGCAACTGCAAGTGTAGCGGAATTAATTTGTTTTCCACCTTACATTATGCAACAGATACGGAGAATATGAATAAAAATAATACGTATATAGCAATACATATTTGAATCGGTGACGCTAGCGATGTAAGTCTTCGATCGTGCATTCGACTTCGCCGAGTCAAACGTGTTTGTAGTCAAATTATAATGTTTCTACATTGCAGTTCCTCTGGAAATCTATTTATTAGTAAGAACATCGAAATTTCATCCGGGTCCGTCACCGTCCACAGACTAATCGTCGTCTTATAAATTTAATCGTGTTCCGGTTTCAGTCTGTGGATTTCAAAATATTCATAGACAAAATAGGTTGACAAGGCATCTTGTTTGAATGTTATATGGTTGAGTTATTTCATCTTCCATCAAATGAACCTTATGCTCGTCTAGCCTACTCTATTATTAAATCAAAGGAAAAATATTCTTCGCTATCCTGCGCTTAGACAGCACCAAATGTCAGATTATTTATAGATTTACAACGATTTCGGATGTTATAGACATGCAATTTCTAAAACCTCTTAAGAATTTAACAGTTACTCTCTCTTCACGAACTTAACATTGCTTACACAAGTCTATATGATTTTAACATTTACAATCCTCACGATTAGTTTTGTATTTAAAACATAAGTTATTGAAACTGGAGGGGCTCAAATCCACGACTCACAGCCTATATTGCCGTTACTGCTAATTATTGTTAAAAAGTTACTATTTCTGTTAAATCTTTACCTTTAGGAATACCGGTACTTCCAGATGTGTAAAGCACTATAGCAATGCTATCGACAAGAGATGGCGCTAGCATCTCAGACGCACCGAGTCGGTCTGAAGGCAAGGAACTAGCATCCAATGTTAATTCTTCAAAGGAAATCGCTGGTATTCCACTGTTCGCGAACATATTTGGGTTTGCTGCAATTGTTTTATTGTTAAGGTTTAATGAAAGACTAAACAAATTATTTATTAATGTTTAAACAAACACTGAAACGGTTCAAAACGAGATATATGTTAGTTGAACTTATCTAAAAATTATTTTAACCACAGCCCGACATAATTTTCAAGTTACAAACTAGTGAAGTAGTAAAGTGTTTTTTTTTTTTATGTGTACTACTCACGTAAACTACAGACGGTGTTTTAATAATTTATTTCCAAATATCACACTAATGCTACTTACGTAATTATTTTATAAGTGATATATACAATTATTTATACATACAACTTAATATAAACATGGCTTATTAAATACTATCTTTAGTCCGTGACCACGGCTGCTACAAAGCATCTGAAACGTCGGGGCGAAGTTAAAAATCAATTTCAAATATGTTTAACTTATTAGTTAAACGCGATATATTTCTCGCGTTTTAAACCATTAAAGTGTTTTATTTAAATGTGAACTACTCGCGTAAACTATAGACAGTATTTACTGTCTATAGTTTACGCGACTCCTCCGAGAGGTCTCCCGTGACCACGTCGGGCCGAAGTTGAAAAACATTTTCAAATAAGTTTAACTAATATATCGCGTTTTAACCCGTTAAAGTGGTTTATTTAAACATGGCTTATGTTCCCACGATCATCGAAGAAAATCATTGTTTATTTTATTGAGCTTACTATTAGGTTAGGGTATTACTGTATTAATTAATAATACGATAGTAAGTTCATAAAAAAGGTGTCTCTCTTACCACTGTCGTCATATATAACAAGAGACGGTTGTGAATCCTTCAAAATGTGATTTATCCTGCCTTGTGGGAAACTGGGCTCCATCGGAACATAAGCTGCCCCTGCCTTCCATATCGAGAGAAGTGATAATAATGTGCTGTAATGTATTAAATTATTATTGAAATACTTGAATCTAGCATATAAACATAAAATATCTTACGCAAAAATAAAAATAAAATAAATGGGCCTCCATTTATTTTTCCGAGAAACTGAATATCCGAAGCTAAAATACGCGACGCGCAACTTATTTAGATATGGCCGGGGCATCTCACCTCCCATCAAGTGAATTCAATGCTTGTCAAAAAAATCTTTTGTACGCAAGAGTCAATAGCAACACCAAACCTGGGGTCAATGAAATTTCCCTTATTGTATCCTCACGTAACATTCTCGTAATTTGAAACTTTTTGCGCAAAAAATTATCTTATCTTATTTTAACTCTCCTAATTGTAAACATACGCCATGGTATCTTAAATTACTACGTTCATTTGTTTTCAATCTGTAAAAAGGCAGCTAACTTACTTATGTGTAGGCTGCATACAGACAGCAATAACAAAATCGCCATCCCTGTTTGGGCCCACTGGCCTCGCGTGTGCTGCTATTGCTCTACCCGTGGAATTGCTTCTCGCTTCCAGCTCAGCGTAGCTCACTTGTATATTGCAGGTTTCATCTGCCAATATGATTTATGATTGATAATACTTCGATATTCATAAATTTGAAATTCTCAGGTCTAATCTTCGATTTTTATGTTCCATAAGACACATGTATTTTTTTCCAAATATTAAAAGAAACGTCTGTGGACTCGAACTAGCAGTGATCCTGGTTATATGTTATAGTGCTTACCTGAATAAATTAAAGCAGTTCTTTCGCCCATCCGGAGAAGTTCGAGGTGTTTGGTCAAAGGTGCCGCTGGTACTGCAGTTCTTGTCCCAGAGACCACCGACACTCGTGGTATCGAACCCATGGCTTAAATAGTATATAATGGAGATAAAATAACTTAGGTATTATTTATTAGTGAATTGAATTATGAAACATTTATTAAAAAAATTATACTTATGTATTTGCGTATTATAAAAAAGAAAAATGTATAGTAACTATAATAATATTTAAATAAAATACTTTAACGGTTTAAAACGCGATATATTAGTTAAACTTATTTGAAAATGATTTTTAACTTCGGCCCGACGTTTCGGATGCTTTGCAGCAGTCGTGGTCACGGGGAGAGAAACGTCGGGCCGAAGTTAAAAATCATTTTCAAATAAGTTTAACTAATATATCGCGTTTTAAACTGTACTACTCCCGTAAACTATAGACACTATATAATAATATTGTCTTTTTCAAATTCGTATTTCATAAAAAAATAACATTTCAAAACTTTAATATTTTTCACATGTTATTGACACATGATCATGTAAAAATTAAAAATCGATTTTGGTGATTTTTTTACGACACGGGCAGGACTTGAATCGGCATCCACAGCGCTCCTCGCTGTTTCTCTAATCAATTGATTAATAGGACACGGGAGCTTAATTGGTTAGAACAACAGCACGGATCGTTGTGCATGCCGCTTCGTAAAAAGTCCAGCCCGTTTCGTAATTGTTTTTTTTATTCTTTTCATGTTTGTGAAATATTTAAAGATCTAACGTAGGTACACTGTAATGCTAGTATAGTTAGTTCTGATAGTAGGTTTAGCTGATGTGTTTGAAGGGCTCGCAGGCTTAAACACCTAATATCTATTCATACTAGCTAGTTCTACTTATGTGACGGACATTTTAAGATTTGTTTATTTCCATTTATTTGTCTAACTTGTAAATAGCAACTGTTATTTAGTTTGAACCTAGGTATCCTAATGTGACACGGACTGGAATCAAACCCGGGGAAGAGCCTAAAAGGTAGCAAACACAGATATAATTAACTAGCTGTGCCAGCGAGTTCGTCCGCGAGAATCGTTATTTTGGGCATCTAAATAAGTTTTTGCAAACCCCGTCATCTTAATAAACTTAAGCTGTTAGCCACAACGTCGATCGCGTCCCTTCCCGTTAATCTTAAAAGATAGGCATGTTGCGTGGCGGATTTTTTTAGATAATTTATAGGGGAATCATTCTTTCTTACACAATTTTTCAATTCGAACCCCTACTCCCTGAGATTAGCGCGTTCAAACAAACAATCTCTTCAGCTTTATGTATTAGTGTAGATTACTAATTAAATAAGAAAAACTGACGTATTCATATTTCTGGCACTCCCTCACCCCCAATGTCACTACATTTAAATTTTTAGACCATTTGCAACGCCTAGCAAAATAGTGTCACTGACACCGTAGAAGCACGTACATAACGCACCTTTTCAAACTAAGCACGGCCGACCTTCACTTATGCAATACAGTTTGGAGGACTCAATCTACTTTATAGTGTAAGAGCCCGTTTATTGAATTAGCGAAATCATACGAATAATTTTTTGAAGCTAACTATGTCGTTAATTTTCGTTTTTGAATCAATGTTTGAATTGTTACTAAATCCATTAAAAGCTAGAAGCGCTAATAAGTAATTATACATGTAATATAAACTATACAAATTTGTTAGATATCTGAAGCCAATATAGATCACAGACTAAATGTTATATGGTTGGGGTATTTCACCAAGGTTCAAGTGCACCCTTTTGGTGTATGTCATCATCTACTATAAAAATATGATATAGTAGGAATATTTAAGTATAGCATCGATGTAACCAACTCCTAAGCTATCGAGAGCTGCCTCGTAAAAAATATTTTGAATTGTATTTGGATGTCAAGTTCGTATTACACCATCGCACTTAACATTTAATAAAACGGATCGTAAAAAATCGGATTTTAGCCAATTATTTACTACAGAAGCCTGCTTAATTTTTTAAGTAACTATATTTGTACGGTAAGGACACCGCAAAACGAGAATTTGCATAACAGTACGCATAATACAATTTACATCATAAAATTATTTACCAGAATCTTGCAAATCTTAAGTTGTTTAATCATTCTTTAAGCAATGTATTTTTTTGAGTAGAGCCCTCAAGGCTGTACAATGAAATAAATACTGGTAATTTTGAATATTTCCCGAATTTTAGTATCTATATATATCCAATTTGGGATCTATAAACCTGATTGTAGAGACTTGTTTGATAGCAATATAACATGTACTCAATGACGTAATAAAATCGAAAAGAGGTTTTTGACCTGACATTGAACGAGTAACAATTTTTAAAAATCTATTTTTGAAACCGTTTCATTCATACAATTGTCCGTAGGTACCTACAGAATGTTATTACGACGAGACTGTATAGTACAGTTTTTTGTGTTTTGTACACAGCCGGAAGAATTTTCTTGGTTTTAAATGTATTCAATTAATTTCAGAAATTAAAAATCTAATAATTTTAACTTGAGTGTTTTCTTTGCATATCCTATTTCACTACAAATTACATATATTTTTTGAAATTTGGTTATGGGATATACCATTATCACTTTATGGTATCCCGTTAATCCCGTAATCCCGTTTCCCCCTTGTGGGGCTGGGGCGAACACACGTTTGTGTTCAATTTACTGAACTGATCCCTTCTTTACCAGGCAAGTAGATCATTGATCAGACTTCTGTGCCCTGCCCCACCGGAACAATTTTTGTTTCCCTGGGATTTGAACTCAGGACCTCTGCGCTTACGCAATGCAAGGTAATACATTTAACCACTTTGGTTACAGAGGTGGTCATTGGATATACCATGCTGAATTTTATAATCAGTTCTTTTTTCTTTTCCGCTCCCCTTAGTACTTAAATTAAGAATTAAATTGATTTAGCTATTATTACCATAATATGAATAGTTGCGTGGACGGGCTAAGTCATTTACATCAGTTGTATAATAATACATCTTCAATTACTCCGACAAACATTAACTGCATCTGAGTCAGGCGTTGCCAACCTTTTTGTTATTAGATAATGAAGCTTCAAATGAAGCTATCTAATAACTACCTAAATATCGTGTAAATATTTAATAGTTGAGGTAGTCGTATATATTTTAAAAAGGCTTACAACGCAAAAAATCGAGTTACTCTATTAGAACCAAACCATTAAAAGGTTTTCGAATGCTTTTCAACAGATGTGATCACGGAGGACTGTAGTTTAAAACTGTAAAAGTGTTTTCTTTATTTCTTACCTATTTATCATAATTATTAACTATTACACTTTCCCTTATCAATATACATAGTTATTAACATTAGGTAATATAGAGACAATTCTAACTAAACCAAAGGTTATTAAACCCTGTCTTCAATAGCGGTGAATACTTAAATCGACAAAAACATGAGATAACTTAAAGGCTACGTAGTCCCAAGGCCTAAGTCGCTGATCACTGACACACTTCTACGGGTCGCCGATTCGATTATTATTCTTGAGGACCGTTCACTTTGATTTTGTTATTAGTCAGAAATAAGGTTAAACTATCGCTTTTTAATAAACTAAAAACGCCATTCGTGTATAGACTCCCGTATTGACAACATAAGGGTGACAAATTCATAAGGCATTAATGCCATTTATAAATTGGGCAATACCATATATTTATTTTCATTTTTTTTAATTTGTGTTTAATAGATGAGGACAGACATATGACATCTAAACAAGATGCGCTATCGATCTGTTTTACATATAACATAACTCTGAAATTGACAGATGTACAAAATGTATTTTTAAAACATAGCGACCGATTTTGGTAATGCCTGTTTTATCCTTTGCATAATTAACGGAAACGACATTTCATCTGAAAACGTGAAAGAGATAGCAATCTACAAATTACGAGTATATCCTCAAAATTCAGTTAAGTCTTACCTACGTTTCGGTCGATATAATAAAATTTTAAATTTCCATTTACAAACCTTTTTTCACTCTTACAATTGTTACTAAAAATTCTTCGTTTTATATTAACAAAAAATAACAGAAATTACATATAAAATGTGACACTTCATGGCTGTATATGAATAGATTACAACAGGAAAATATTACGTATTCCTGTTTTGTATAGGGGTAGGGAATACCCGGTTACTGGTCTCTGAACAATGATAAACAGGTAGTGTCATCATATGTATTTAGCATACATATGATGACACCTCACAGATGCTTTACCTATATGCCTATGGCCTAAGGGTTGAGGGTTTTAATTCGTATCAATGGTTTCTGTTAATTATCTTGGACGTATGGTTTAATATATGCGAGGTGTCCCAGGTTCAAAATAATTCAATCGTAAATTGTTTTGCTCGAGAAGGGCACAGATGTCTGATCAATTATCGATAGCGATTATTCGATTTAAAAAATATATCAAGTTTAAGACTATACTTTAAGTTTAATTTGAAATTTATGAATAAAAATAATTCGTTCATAACATACAAATTAGTTAAGAGTTGAGTGATAAACAAGTAGATATTTGATATAAATTGAAAATCGATTATACTCAAGTAAATAAAAAAAATATCGATTTGTGAATTTCTTTTTAAATTTTAAAATTAATTTTAAATTTATACAGTGCCATTATGTGAAGAATATTATTATTTTTTTAAATACTAAATTTTAATTAAAAGAAATTCTTTATTATTCCTCGTACGGGACAACACATACGATCCCAATTAAATAAGAAATTTATAAGGCCACTAATGAATGCCATTAACATTGGCGGAAATGTTGTTACCTAATGACAAACATATATAACATTTCTTATTTCATAGTTTATCTAAGAGTTTGACAGCTTGCCTACTTCCTTCCTAGAAAACCCAAATGTGAAGGTGTTTCAGTTATCCGCGTGTGTTGCCTTAACAAATATATTTAATATCATTTTCTTGTCATTTTATATTACTTTAAAAAATATTAAAGTTAAAAGGTACAATAAAACTACAAATGTGGGCTGTTTACACAACATAATAAACACAACATTCCTTTAATAAGCGGCCAAAGTTGATGA